TAAAATTTTTTAAAATGACTTTAAATTTTTTTTATTTAATTATAAAACAATTAAAAAGAAGGACAAAAATTGTTTTCATTTTATTTTTTCTTTTAATTTAGTTATTTAATATAGGAAATAGAGGGAAAAAGAAAAAAGAAAAATAGAAAAATATAATTTTTTTCTTTCTCTTCTCCTTTTATATTAATTTTTCTTAACCCAAATATATTATAAATTTATTAAAATAATAATTAATATAAAATTAACAATAATTTATCTATATATTTTCTTAGGAAATTTATATTTAACTTGAGATGGTACATTAAGAATTGCTATTTATTTATAAATTTATTAAAACATTTTAAAATATTTTTATATTATTTATAAAATAAATTACACTTTTAATTAATTAATCTACAACCTACCTGGCAAAATAATTTCTTGATATTCTTTTTCCTTTTTTAACGCTTTTTCGACTTTGTTTTTCCCTTTGGTTAAAACTCTGTTGTGGTTCTTTTACTTTGAAGTAAAATTCTTTTGTAGTCCTTATACTTAAAAAAACTCCTTTTTAATCCTTCAAGTTTATTTCTTGACCCTTTTTGATTCCTCCGTCAAAGTAGAGGGACTAAATGGAGTTTTAACCTTCCCTTTTTAAACATCGACGGACGGCAACTCCGCATTTTGGCAGTCCCTTCTCTCTCGGTCGCTTCAGTTCAGCCTGTCTTTCAAGAAGAGTAGAAGGATCGCCGAACTGCGATGACTTCTCCGTCTCAAGAACACCCTGAGTCCATTGAACCCGAAAAGTCCTCACCCCAGAACCTCGGTTCCGATGTGCCTCACGACCTACAAAACCCAGAACCATCAGAAACCCTAACCCTTCAAATCCCTTGTCCCCAGAACCCACAACAGGACGATGATCCAGACCAAATCCAAATTGAGGAAGACCCTAACACGGGCGATGCAGAGATGCCCGCTTCCATCCCTCCTCTTGTCACTGACCTCCAGGTCAAGTCTTCCACTGCCTCCCCACGCCTCGGTGGAGGTCCGAAACGCAAGAAAAAGGGCTTGAAACGACGCGGGAAAGAGAAGAATTTCTCAAAAAAGCGCAAGATCCTCGATGAAATCCTAAAGCCGATCCCTTTTGTTCCTCCCGATCTAGATTTCTCCAGGCACGAAAAGCTTCTGAAGCGACTAGGGCTTTGGGATTTTGTTCACTTGGAGTTTGATCGAAGCCTTCGAACCGATCTCCTCGCTCAGTTGATCGCTAGTTATGGGGATCGTTGTAGTTATGTGAATGGAGCTCGAATCAATGTTAGCCGAGCCGATTTGGCCCGTGCATTGAAGCTGCCGGTGAAGAAGGATAAGGACACCGTAGTGGAAGAAGAAGAGTCTGAGGAATCTAAAAGTTTTGTTCAGGAATTTCTGTCCAAGTGGGTCATTCTGCAAGGGGACGAGATGGACGATATGTGGATAATGCCGCCAGAGGTATCGAACTGGACTAAAGTGATCAAAGAAGGGCATTTTGAGAAATTAGATTGGGCGAGTTTGATCTGGTCTATGGTGGAGAAAGAGCTAAAGTCTGCTCCAGATCTTGGAAATTGTTATTATGCATCGCATCTACAGTGTTTGATAAAATGCCAAAAGGAAGAATTGTTGCGGGAGGAACCCAAAATGGAGGTTGACAATAAAGAGGAGGAGGAGGAGGAGGAGGAGGGTACTGGGGATGTCAAGATGGTTGATGGGGAAGTCAAGATGGTTGACGGGGAAGTCAAGATGGTTGATGGGGATGCCACGATGGTGGATCGGGATGTCACGATGGTCGATGGGGATGTCACGATGGTTGATGGGGTTGATGAGTCCCGAGGGGATCCAGAGTTAGAGGAGCATAACATTGAGTTGAGTCTTGGTGGGCAAGAGAAAGTAAAGAAGGATAGTGTTGAAATTGAGCAAGAGGTGGGCCGGAATGATGATATTATAGATTTTGGGGGAAGTAAGGAGTTGGAACCGGAGCAGAGCGTTTTGGATAGAAAGATTGAGTATGGCAGTGATCATATCTTGCAGAGGTGTAGTCTTGGTGATGTTGGGGAAGATTGTGAGGAAGATGGAAAAAAGGATCTGGGAGGAGAGATAGAAGAGGGAGGAGAGGATGGACAGGAAGATGATGAAGAGGAGGAAGAGCATGAGGAAGTGTTTACCATGTCATTAAAAGGTGAGGCTCTGGATGGCATAACTTCATCAAATCTTATTGAAGCCATGGATGCTGCACAACTAACTTTCAGGGCTGGAATGCAAATTCGTGACAACTCCTTACCAGATTTTCTTGTCTCTAGGGTTGATACTCAGTCTATCCCAGTTGGTTCCTCATTTTTGGGGAATGTTAACAAGAGAGATATTGGGCACGAGACTGGTACTTCTGATCATTCTCTTAATGGGAATAATAAGCGGTTGAGAGCTGACAGCCAATGGCATGAGAAGCAGTCTGACTTTTATGGAGTCCTGCAGGACGCTCAGCAGTCTTTGGCAAAAGCTAGAGTGCTTTATGCTGAGAGAGAACAGTCTTATAATGAGTTGAATATGAATCAACAACTTTTGCTTCATGAGTTGCAAGAAAGGCAAAGGCTTATTGATCAGTTGCAGAAGGCCAGATTTGAGGAGCAACATAAGAGGCAAGTGGAGGTTTTTAGGCTTGAGCGTGAGCTCTATATGATGGGAAATCTATTAGATGGTTACAGAAAGGCTTTGAAGGAAACACATCGGAATTTTGCTGAATATAGAGCACGCTGTCCTCAGCCTGATGAGCCACTTTACAAGGATGTTAAGGGATCTGGGGGTTTAGTTTTGAGCACTGCAGAACTTGAAAAGCAACGATTGAAAGAAGAAGAAGAAGAAAGGATAAACAGATTGTTGTTGGAGAGGAAATTTAAGGACTTTGAAGCAGGGTGGCTCGCTAAATTTGAATCTCACAAAGATGCTGTTTTTTCACTGGATGAAAGGTTGAATATTGCAGACAAGGACGTGAAACAGCTAAAGGAATTAGCAAATCGAAGGGTTTCAGAGACACCAGAACATGATCCAAATGAACATGATCCAAATGAACCTGATCAAAATGAACCTGATCCAAATGAACCTGATCCAAATGAACCAAATGGAAATGAACCTGATGCAAATGAACCTGAGGGAAATGAACCTGATGGAAATGAACCCGATCCAAATGAATCGTGAAAGTCAGTAAGTTCTTCTTTTGAAGCTATTACATGCATCTAAAAGAGAGACTCTTGTTTATAAGTTAATTATATGCATTTATTGCATGGATGTTTTCTTACTCTATAAGCTATTTATTTTGATTGGGGTTGCATCCAAATTGCTTACTTAGACCTTCTTAAGTTAAAAGAATGTTATGTTCAGTTGACAGTATATTTCTCAAAATATTCAAAGTATTTAAAATATTAAAAATAGGAGGGAGTAACTCATCTGAGGATTGCAAATGTTTGTTTAACATATGGATATCCTTAAGTTTGCATTAGTATGGTTGGTTGAAAGTTAAACTGATTAGGACAATGCAACTGGATCTGTATTTTCTTTCTATATTTTTCAGTTAACCTAGCCAAGCTCTATTATAATTTCATTATTTATCAAGATCCAAATTACTTTTCTTCTAGTTCCTCCTGCTAGATTGGATGTGTGCTTATAGATTAGTAACCAATTGTTCCTTCATTAGGATTTCTAATAGGGAGACTAAAGTAATAAGTACAGTCGATGACTTTGGAACATTGTCAACCATGGCCAAGATTGAAGAGTAGTTCTATGTACTGGCCTTTCTATGACCTTTAGGGTATGCGTATTGGTTTGGGGTGGTGTTTTGATCTCTCGTAAAATGGTCTCATAACCTACCCTAGATAGTAATTATTAACTAGCATTTCCTAACGCGCAAAGCTGGTTGTTGGGATATATTTTTACTTTTGAAGAAAAAAATATAATTAAAAATTTATTGTTAGAAATAAATAATAAAAGAGTTAATTATTTTGAAGTTTGAACCATATTGAATTATAAAATAGGGTCCACCCCTCATTTAAGGGTTCAACTTTTGCAGTTCGATATGGTCTGGATTGCAAAAAACTTTTCCAATAATAAAATACTAAAACAATATTTGCCTTCAATAAGTTGTATTAAATAATGATAATATCATCAAGCAATTTGTGGACTGTACACTACCTTCTTTATTATTCTTAAGATATCAGTTTAGATATCACATAAATTTATAAAGTTAAAACAGAGCAAATCACTATTTTTTGGTAAATGACATGATAAATCACTTAAAATGCAGCAATGAACTCTCATTAGTTTTTAAAAAATACAATCAAAATATATTGAATTTTTTTAAAAAAATTACTTATTCACACTAAAATGTAATTTTTGTTGCAATAAATAAGAAGAAAAAAAGTTTGTTATATTAAATAATCTTACACTTAAATACAAAAGGAAACTTCAGCTAGATCAACAAAAGGTGGTTTGTGAGACAAAAGTGAGGGGGTAAAAATGGAACTTTGAGGTGGAGTTGGAGGATTATGCTAGGTGAAAGATTGTAATGACTAAAAAAGGCATCAATTGAGAGAGAAAGTGAGGGGCATATGAAACATTCAACTTTGATGGGTTGTTAAAAGACAAAAATGGACTTCACAACTTTTTGATGTTGAAGTGCCTTGGGAGACCAAAATAGGGGCAAGAAAGGTAACGAACCTTTAGTAGAACTTGTGATTTGTGAGAGGGCCAAATAAGAGATAGATAGGAAGAAAAGGTGAATGATGAGAGAGATAGGAAATAGTAACCAAATAAGAGAGAGAGAGGAAGAGAAAGTTAGTGATGAGAGAGATAGGAAGGAGGGAGGACTCCAGTTTTTTATTTTTAGATTATATGTCTTCTCATAGATGAATTTCTTCTGTGCTTGCAAGAATTTGTCATTGACACTCTGGAGGAAGTTCCTTTGTATGTTATTCCTACTTATTTTACATATACGTGAGGTTCCTTGGAATGATTTTGCATTTAGGCAGTTCACATTACATAAATTTATTAATCTTTTGAAGATAGTTGTTTAAAATGGTCTCACAAAACCTATTCTAGATATTAATTATTAATTATATGTCTTCTCACAGATGATTTTCGTCTGTGCTTGCAAGAATTTGTCATTGACACTCTAGAGGAAGTTCCTTTGTATGTCATTCCTACTTTTTTTACATATACATGAGGTTCCTTGGAATGATTTTGCATTTAAGCAGTTCACATCACATAAATTTAATCTTTTGAAGATAGTGTTTAAAATGGTCTCACAAAACCTATTCTAGATATTAATTATTAATTATATGCTTTCTCATAGACGAAATTTCTTCTGTGCTTGCAAGAAGTTGTCATTGATGCTGCGGAGAAAGTTCCTTTAAACGTTATTCCTACTTATTTTACAATTTATGATCTTTCTTGGAATGATCATCTATTTTAGCAGTTTACATCACAACAATTGATTAATCTTTTGAAGATGGCTGTTTAAACCTGTGTCTGTATTGCAGATTTGCGTCAGGACAATGCTGGATGTTAATGTTTTTGAATAGCATTCATGTTTGCTGCAAAAATGAAGAATAGGGGCGATGGTGAGAGAACAAGGAAATGATGGTTTATGTACTTGCTTGGTTATGTTTACTTTGTGACTGAGTATAATCTTTTGGAACCTTAATTATGGAAACATGGTCGTAGTATCGTATCACATTTGGTATTGGATGATGGAAACATGGTTGTAGCATCGTATCTCTATCTCATGGTAGTTATATCTCTCCCTTATCTGGTTTAAGGAAGACGATCTGTAACTGCTATAAATTTATCGTAACTTAGCCTGTTAGCTAACTTCATAAGACACATTTCCTCACCTGATTGATAGGATATGACACAGATTCATGTTCGTCCGGTACTGGAAGACCTAAAATGTCATTGATAAAACAATATAAATCAAATATTCATTAAGAGTAATAAATTTGTAAGTATGCCAACTTGAAAAACACTTTCTATGCAAGGGTGTGGTAAGCAGACAACTCTTATGATTGTCATAGACGGAGTAATTCATGTAATTCATGAATTAAGACTATTTATTATAATTGTTATTGTTGGTTTTTTATTGTGGTTTTTAAAATTTAAATAATAAAAATTAATAATTGAAGATTAAACTTAAAATTTAAAATTGGTAATTTAGGTATAAAATTTTAAAACTAATAACTCCAAAGTTTAAACTTAATTAATTTATAATTTTTTTAATTCTATTTTAAGATTTTTAAATTTTTAAAAACTATAACTTAATAATTCAAAATTACAACTATGTTAAAGGGAGCATTTGAGTGTGATTATTCTCTTTCAAGCTGTGGTCATTTTCTGCCTATTGATTGCTCTAGGGGTGACACTGACAAAATATTAGTCTTCCCTCTATTGGCGTTGACAAACCGTTTCTTTCTTTCTTCTGAATTCATACTGCTTGCATTATTTTCTGCAACTCTTGGCCATGCTGGCGAGTCAGCACCGCGAAGAATACAAATGGTAATGTTGTAGATAGATTTATGCTTTAAAAAGAGAAAAAGTGCTAACGATTTAAGGTGCCATATAAGTTGAGAAACTTGCTCTGTAATCACATTTCATCATCCATCAATTAAACATTCAGCTGTTTAAAAAAAAAAAAAAAAAATCTCAGTTGACCACCATAATCCAATCAGTGCTCATAACAACAGCACATCAAAGAACTTCAAAAGCATAAAATCAAACATAACCAAAAGTTTGTTTAACAAAATGTAATAATCTTCAACTTCTGAATGCTCTTATAAAAAAGAGCGTTTTAGTCTCCATTCAATTGGTTGCAGGCTCAAAGACTGGCTGATCCTTATTCAACACTTCCCAGTCCATTTGCCTCAGCATTTCAAATCTTTCTTTCAAAGTCACAAACCCAACTTGAGGAGCAATAATGCCACAGGTCCCAGCTTTATGTAATAGGAGTACACTGGAACCCATATCAGGACCATGAAGCTTTCCAGTTAGCAACACTCTCAAGGGCAAGAAAAGTGATTTCCCCTGCAAGTAGAGCAACGCATGATTTTGAGTTCAGCATTCACATACATCACTTTAATTTGAAAATTCAACAGAAATCAGGATACAGCAGAATTCATTTGAAGTCTACCTTGCGCTTCAATGTTTTGCCAAAGCTCTTCACCCACTTCTGCCAGCAAGCAGAACCTTCTTCAAGAGCACCAAGCAGTTCACCACTATCATACGCAGCTAAGAGACTGGCTGAAACTTCCGAAAGCTTATCTTCTACAATACATTTACCTTCAGAGCTGCAAACATAATGACAAGATGACATAATCACAACTGGTTGTGGAAACAATTTAGCAAACTGAAGAACGTGCTTTGAGCATCTTACAACAAACACAACCGCAGACTGTATTTTTTCCCAACAGTAGAAAGCCAATCCAAGACAAATTCCAATCCCAAAGTGTAATAAAGGACAAAATCTCCTTTTTGGTGCAAGAATTCTCATATAAAAAGTTTTCTTATTTTTTCTTATTTGGCTGGCATGTATTTTCTCCACCAGAAGACATCCCCAAGGGTATCATATATGCATGAGCTAGTTTCAATAGATACCATAAAAGTATATTGGTTCCTCTCAGACTGAACCGAGATGCCTCTTTGTGATGCAATCAACCCAGACGTAACTCCTAGGGTTCTTCTATCTACCTTTTATCTTCTGTTTTTCTCTTACCTTTTAACCCCTAAAACAGCCCCTTAAACCAAAACCCGCACCACACCCTCAACCTGTCCCTGCATCATTCATTTTCAATATGTACCATACCCAGTGAAAGTTTGCATTTAAATTCCTAAGAACAAACCCCTAAAACTGGAAGGGAAAATAGAAAATTTCCAAACTTTAGCCCAACATCATAGACCAGTATGAATACATTCAAAAATGATATGCAGAGAAGCTCCTCCAGCCAAAAAGATTATGCCGACTATGATTACCAATTACAAAATTTAAGAACAATAAGTCAATAATCACCTCATCAGGGTATCAAGCAAAGGATAGGACAGCAACTTTGAAAGTTCATTATCTGAATCTGTGACCAAGTCAATGCCATCCGCAAGAAGCTGAACTGCCTCCTGTTTGGACATATTAATATTGGAAGTACTATCGTCAATGTTCTGGATCTGAACGAATGATATGAAGAAATCATAAAAGCAAACCCATGCAAGAATGTAGTGGTGCCTTGGTGCTTTCATTTGCAGCAATTCAGCAAAGATGTAAATATTAGTTCTAGTTTCAATGGAAGTTTTTCACAATGCATTAAAAGGATTAACCCATATGGGATTACATGAATAAATTAAAAGTACACATTAAAACTCTATTTCTCTGCCCTTGGTAGAACTAGAAATTCCCACTTTAAGTAACAGGATTAGCATCAGTAAATAATTTTATCTAACATTGATTTTACTCATATTTAAAACAGGGAGAGGAGATTCAAAATGATCACAATGTTAAGAAAAACAAACAAATTAAAATTAGAAAACAATCATCCAGCTAATTATGAAAAAGACAAATGGTATTTGCAGGAATCTTTTAACCAGAGTAAAACATGATGAAAATTCAGTAATATGTCTCACATCTATAAATGGCCCTTCTGATTCTGTGAGGACACCATTGCTTTTCCAGTGCTCACCAATAAGTTTGGTCAACTTCTCGAATGGAAGTGCTCTTAAATGCTGACCATTCATCCACCTTGAGTTAAGAAGAAGAGATTATTATGAAAATCAATATGATATGACATAGTTACATTTTCTATGCTACCAAACGTTTGAAACATAAGCATGCAAGAAATCCATGTAACAGTGAGACACTCATTAAACTTTAAAAGAAAAAGGGAAAAGACAGTGTGTGTGCACATGCACGCACGCATGTGGTTACAAAAGGTAATGTACAGAATCTAAGCATGAAAAGGCTACCTTAACTTGGTAGAATCAAAAATGGCACCATGTTTGTTAACACGATCAATTGAGAACTTCTCAACTGTGAATTACAGGGAGATTATTCAAGTAAGAAATTGGATAAGCACCTGCCTAAGCCAATAATCATGTATACTACAAATCAAGAAGACCAACCAAGTTGCTCGACTGTGAAAAATTCATTTTCTGTGCCATCGCCCCAACCTAAAAGTGCCAAGTAATTCACCATTGCTTGAGGTAGATATCCCATCTCCCTGAACTGCAAAATGGATATTATTAAACAAGAAGTAAATAATCCTACTTATTGTAAGAAATTTTTATGTAAATCTCACAACACCAAAGGCATCAAGAAATAATAAAAGAAAAGAAAGAACAACACGAACTACTCACCTGACCAACTGAAGTAGCACCATGTCTTTTTGAGAGTTTACTCCTATCAGGTGCAAGAATTAAAGAGACATGGGCAAAAGAAGGCATGGGTAATCCAAGAGCCTGCAGTGTAATAATATTTACCAGCCAAGATCAGCATTGCACATCATTGACAGAAATTGGATACTTCAAAAGGACAATCATTAACAAAGATTGATTAAAAGGGGGTCCTTAAGATTACCTTGTATATTAGGGCTTGCCTTAATGTATTTGGTAAATGCTCTTCAGCTCTAAGATAACAAAGTGTATATAATAATTGAAGAATTAGTGCAACATAATTGATGAGCCAATTAGATGTCGAAACAGTAAACTGGTAACATTAGTAGACTGGAAAATAGAACATTTCCACCATGACATGTTATCTATGTTACCTTATAACATGTGAGATAGCCATTGTAGCATCATCAACAGTAACACAAAAGTTGTAAACTGGTTGCCCATTGCTCCTCATGATAACAAAGTCTCCAAGTGTATTTAAATTCCAACTAACCTTCATGGTACTATCTAGCAAAGTTAGTGCCTATACAACTAAATTATCATAAAATGTGATGAATTTTATATTTAAATAACAAGTTAACAACAATGAATGGGATGCCAACAAAGCATTTCAGGATTATTAAAGATCAATCGATTGCCATTTGTTGATCAATTGCAATCAATTGAACTCACTCAAAAGATTCATTGTATATAGAGTTCAGCCAATAGGACTTACTTCACCTCGAATAAGGTCATTAATCATCAATCTCCCTTCTTTTGGAACCCGAAATCGATATGTATATGGAGTTCCCTTATCTAGCTCTTCCTGTACTTCTTCATCACTTGCAGTGGCCCACTTTCCTGTGTACACTGGTGGCAGTTGCTTTATTTTGGCAATTTCCTTCATTTTCTCAAGTTCCTATGGAAGTTAGAAAATAACCTATCAAATGAGTATCGTTTAAAATTTATTAAAGTTTCAAAGTCAAGGTACTAAGGGACTAGAGATCATTATGGATAAAAAGGGAAAATGCTCAACTAGAAAACACTGGAGTGGATAATAGCAATACCATGATTAAGAAGATTTGATAATGGAAACATCCAAGTCATGAACTCCAAAGAAACTCAAGGGAAAAAACCAAAATGGTTGATTGGATCATACGCAGAAAGACTAGTATTGACTTGCATATTTCCCTTTTATTAAAGAAAAGAGGAAAACTCACTGTTTCTCCAAAGTAAAATCAATGGAAAAATTCAATGCTATGGCACAAAGCATGGATCAAACCCAAAAGAAAATCTCATTTTGTTTCCAGACCTATTATATTTCCTCCCATTTCTAGAAGCAAACCAGCTAAACCTATAAATCAATCCAAAATCATGTTTCAGTCATCTTAAAAGTATAACGCACGGTGGAATCAACATGCTGCAATCATGAGTCATTGGCCACATATCATCCAGATAAAGAAAGTACCTCATTAGAACAAAAGCAGCGATAAACTTGACCAGATTCTAAGAGCTTCTCAGCATACTCCTTGTAAAGTGAATTCCTTTCGGACTGCCTATACGGACCGGAGTCCCCACCAATGCCAGGGCCTTAGAAACAACAGAACTCGCATTCAGTCTTTAAGCGTAACAGATAAAACAGTAAAGCATGTCAAACAAGACGGTCATTACCTTCATCCCAATCCAGTCCTAGCCAAGTTAAATCTCGAAGCATAGCCTCCTCCGATTCCCGAGTCGATCTCTCCAAATCAGTGTCTTCAATTCTCAGCACAAATTTCCCTCCTTTCGACCTTAAATTCCCAGAAAAGAAAATCATTAGAACTTGGAAAAATCCAACTCAGAATATCGTAGGGAAACTCAAGGAAAAGCGAACCTTGCAAACAAGTAATTGAAGAGAGCAGTTCTAGCGCCGCCAACATGTAGGTTTCCGGTGGGAGAAGGTGCAAAGCGCACTCTAACTGGTGCATCTCTATCAACTACGCCATCAATTGCTGCTCGCAATGATAAACTCCTCTGAAATCGGCGCAGGAAAACTGGAGGGGCAAACTCCGGCAATACCTTGATTCTCATCAACGGCGTCCCTGCCACCAGATTCGCCATGTCCCAAACAGAACTATGGAGGAAATTGGAAGGATAACAATTGTAGTCTAACAAATAAGCTAGGTTAAACTACCAACTTGGTCCCTCAATTTTTAGATTTGTATTGAAATTATCCTTCAACTTCAATAAATATTAAAATTATCCTTAAATTTTAATTTTTAGTACTAAAATAGTTCTTGAATTTTGAAAATAAATACCAGTTAGTCTTTAAACTTTGAAAACAAGTACTAATTTAAATCTTAAATTTTGATTACAAATATTAATTTAATATTTTAACTTTAATTACATGTTAATCAAATATATAAATAAAAAATATCATGATAATAAAATATAACTATTTAATTATATATATTATTAATACCTTGAAAAAGAACTAATTTTGTGATAAAACAATGAGTTACATGGTATTTCTACTAATGAAAGAACTATTTTAATATTAAAAATTAAAATTTAAAGATAGTTTTGACATTTTTTAAAGTTGAAAAATAATTTTACTATAAATTTAAAAGTTGAGGGACCAAATTAAAATTTTAACCAATAAATATGACCGTTCAGACCGCCCTTAACGTCTAGGACACGATCCCCTGCAGTGAAATCTATATATATATATATGATTAAATACTAAATTTGGTCCCTCAACTTTATAGAGTTACATTTTTTGGTCTCTCAACAGTTTTTTTGTACTTTTTTGATCCTTCAACTCTAAAGAATGCATAACGTTGGTCATTTCATCAGTTAAGCATGACGTGGTTGTTAAATAATATCATGTGGCATTTTATTTTAATTCTTTTGATGATGTGGCAATATCATATATTATAATTATATTACATAAATAAATAAAAATATCACATCAAATTAATATTTATATTTTAATTTAAAAAAATTGTGATACCCAAAAATTTCTAGAATAAATAAGTGAGTTAAGGACTAATTTGTTTTGGGCTTAATAGCCAACATTTTGAAAGTTGAGGGACTTAAAGAGGGAAAGATTTTAGGATAAGGATCAGCTTCCTTCTTTTGTTGTTTCTTTCTTTCTTTTCTTCCTCCTCAGACCCGATTCTGCTCTTCTTCCCGCTGCAGCCCAAAAAAAAAAAAGAAAGGGGAACCCGGCACCAGCCTTTGAGAAACCGGTGAGATAAGCTTGGTGTTGGCCTTCTTTTCTTGTTCTAGGACTGAAATTGAACCCAGAATTCTTTCCTCCCCTCTGCAGAATCCGGATCTGCTCTGCTCTGCTCTGCCCTGTCCGGTTGCTGCTCTTGCCGGTTGTGGGTGCAAAATTCTGGGCTGTTTCGGTAAGAAATAGCCATTAAATTCTCTGTTTTTCCTTGAATTAGCTTGGGTTCATGTTAAATCTAGTGTTTCTCCAGATTTTGGGTGAACCCGTGAGCTTTCCCTGCAGCTTGCCGCCGGCCTCTTCCCCCCTGCAGCTCCGGTTTCTACAGCTGGAGAATTATGGTATGTGGCAGCTTCTCTAAGTGCAAGTTTTAGCCATTTAATTGCTGCCCTTTGTGTCCGAAATTCTGGATTAATTAGGGGAGAAAATTGATAGTAATTAGACCATGATTTAGCTTAATTCAAGTGGGATTTATGTGATTGAGTGTTAATTGACTGCTGTGATTTTTGAAGAGAAAATCCCGTGAAATTAGTTAGTGTTTTGGCCAATTTTTGGAAGTTGGAGTTACTGTTCACGTGGGGTTACTGTTCACGGGAACTGTTCACGGGAACTGTTCACACACCAATGGTTAACAATTAACTGGGATTTAAATGGTTAGTTTGTGATATAAGAACGAATTTGGAGATATCTGAAATGTGGAGATTGATAGGAAATAGTATCGTGATTAGGGGTAGTCCTAATGATGATTTCAGTGTGAATTTGTGATAGTACGGTATTGATTCTCGGATATTTTGATTAGATTCCCGATCGTTCTGTCAGTTAGCACTGAGATCGAGTGCTCGGTTTTATGCGAGTGAGGTAAGTAAATTTATGGTAATGCCCATACAGTTTTTAAAAGCATGTTTTGATTTGTTTTTGAAGTGATGGCAAGACTAAACCCGTTTTACACAAGTATGACTGATTTGAAGTGAAAGTTTTATGTTTTTCATTAAATTGAGCATGCCTACTTGAGATTTAATTGATTGTCCTGATGATTTGAAAGTGATTGGTGAATTATGATTTTTCTGTTAACTTCTGCTTGTTTTGTCTCCGATGTGGTTATGTTATTGATGATCCTACTAGTGGGGTTTAAACGCTAGCACATGTCGACATGTTATTGATAGAACCGGTTCGTTCAACCCTACTAGTGGGGGTTATACACCGGCAAATACTGTAGCCTGCCAGTGGGAGGTTTAAACACTGGCCATGACCTATAAAGGAGACGTCTATTTCATTCCCGTACTTGTATCCGTTTTTCTGATTACACTTGTTGGCATGCTATGAGTTTAATTAAGGGCATTCCATATTTACTTACTGAGTTTATCTTATAGTTTTTCTTTGTCCATCATTTCAAGAAGCGAAATCGAGGACGGAAAACCACGGGAAGTGACAAGTTAGAAGGCTAGCCATTTCGAGATTGATATAGATTTTAGATATAGATCGTGATCTTGTAAACTGAATTTTAATTGAAGATTTTATAAATTCATTGAATGGATTGTTAGTTACAAGAGATTTGACCTTGAGATTTTAGTGGTATCAGATTGTGATATGATAAGTTTCGAGCCTTGTGCATTTGTGGAACCCTCTCACGAGTGCACGACGTTTGTCGTGCCTCGAATTTGGATTTTGGGGCGTGACAAAAATAAAAACAAACAAAATTACCTTATTACCCTCCTTCTTCCCTTTCTTTCTTTCTCTTTCTCTTTCTTTCTTTTCCACCCATCGAACCCAGATAGAACCTAGTAGCTGGGTTTGATAGAACCTAGATCGATTGGGTTTCGTTGAACCCAACTATTGGGTTCGATCAAAACTCAGCTGCTGGGCTAGGTATCGACGAACCAGCGAACCAGCACAGCTGTGCTGAGCATCGACGAACCAGCATAGCTGTGCCGGGTATCGACGAACTCAGCACAGATTTTTTATCATTTTCGCGAAGTTGTTAGATCCAAAGGCTTCTTGAGACAAGGTTCGTTGATTTTGAACTTCTTCATTATGGGATTCTCTTCTTTGATTGATTCCTTTTATTTGATTGTGTTCCAGGCTTTGATAATGTGTTTCATTTTCTGCTTGTTTTTGGATACGTTAATAGTTGCCGTAGAATGGTTGCTTCTGATACTTAATTCATGCTCTTTTCCACAATAATCCACTTATGGGTTCACTGATTTTGTGTCAAATTTAGTTTTTGGTAGATAATCATGTGTGAATTGGATTTTTTATTGGTATAATTTAAATTATTGATTTTTTTGTTATTATTATTAGGTTAAACCCCCATTTTGTTCCCTCAACTATTGTACGGTCCCCCGACTTAGTCCCTCAACTTAAAAAATCTTTGATTTCGGTTCCTACTGTTTACCATTTTTACCCCAATTTAGTCCCTCCGTTAAAAATCCAATGACGTGTCCTGTTAATTAACTGAAGCATGATGACGTGTCAAAATAACGTGACACATCAGATGCACGCATGAAAAAAAAATAACATGACAAAAAGTGATGACATAGAAAAAAAATAATATGTCAAAAAAAACTTTAAAAATTTTTTTTTTCTCTTTCTTCTCTTTC